GTGTGTGTGTGTGTGTGTGTGTGTGTGTGTGTGTGTGTGTGTGTGTGTGTGTGTGTGTAAGAGTGTTAAGCTAATACATCTTAATGATTTGCTTTCATTATTGAGTGGCACCTTTGTTAAGGAGACAGAAGATAATTTATGCTTAAGAATGACAAACTAGGACATTTATTTAGAATATGAAAGGAGCAAGGCTAGGATCTAAAATTCCAGAATCCCTTTTTAGTAATTTCATGGAGACACAAGAGGCTTGGATTTTTTTTTTGCAGAAAGACACCCCAAGCTTAAAAAAATGTTTGCTGTGGGTTCCATCATGGTCACATCCAGACTCCAATGCAGTTTATCTAAAGGTATTTAATCACCAATCAGCTTTTTACTGCAATGTTCTAAAGTGAAGCTTCTGAGTTGAAACAGTATTTTAGAGATTAGTATCAAAATGTCAGACAGCAATATTAATCATCCAGATGTGTTCCAAGAGAGCAGGTACTTGGCAGGACAAATGAAATCCTTTTCTTTTCTGCTAGACTAGAGCATTCATAGGGTGACGGTCTCTCTCCCTCTACCCGTTTCCTCCTTTGGAAGACGATAAATCACAGGCTTTGTCAGCGAGTCATGAGAGGGGCTGCTGTTTGTTAGAATCTGTCCAGCCAAATATCAGAGTTGCATGGATTGGAAGTTAGAGCTCCAGAGATTCTTTTAGAAAGGAGAATTAAAAAAAACACACGATGAGCTCCATTTCTTTAGCCCCTCCATATTCTCAAACAGTTTGCTATGAAATCACAGAACCAAAAACAGGAGAGAAAGGCCGGGGGGGGGGGGGGAGAGGAAAATGTGGGTGGTTCAGTTTGGAATATTTTGTACAAACACACATGGATGTGCATCCTTGCACAAGACCATTGGCAATCTTTTTTAAGCCTGTGCAGGTTTTGTTCCCAAGTCACTGGCATGTTGAGTGACGGCAGTCACAAATGCTGCTCACCTTCTAGCCAAATTCTTTCTTTTTATAACCCCCTCTTCTTTTTTCTCAAGAAGCTGGCACATGTCCAAAACTGTCACTAGTCTAGGGATACACATGATTTCCATTTTCTAAGAATGTTTGTGGAACATGGAGGCTATGCTTGCATCTTCACTCCTCCATGCACTGGTGATATTGTTGCACTAGATAATAAAACATCACCCAGAAGAAAAACAAGCCCAGAGAATACCAAAAATCCAGTAAGAAAATATTTTGAACAATTAAGTGGGGTGATGAACTGACATCTTGGTTTCTATGAGGGTCACAGAGACTAAGACGATCCAGCCTATAGGAAAAACAGCTCTCAAGTTATCTACTATAGTACTTGAGAATGATCTCAACTTTGGGAACATTTACCTTGCTTTCAACTGAGACACCCTAGGATTTAAGCTTAGGATGTCTTTGTTTGCTGGATCTCTGGATGTGCTGTATCTTTGTTATTCTACAACACCCTTGATGTACAAAGTGTACAACTTGTAGTGACCAATCTATCTGTGAATTGATGTTGATGAACACAAATTCATGTCTTCACCACTTGCAAATTCACTTCTTCATTTCTAGCAAATGCACTCTAAATTAGGATTGCTTTTAAAACACCAGAAAACAGAGTTCTAGTAGCTGAAATAAAAGCTGTCTGAAAACACTCTAAAAATTAGGTAACTTATAAGCTTGGTGTAGTAGCCTTCTTTCATTATAGCATCTGCAAGATGTGCTTGGTATTATTAGCTCCTCATTTAATGTTCTATATGCAGTCTATTGTAGCACATTTGCATTGCAAAATCTGCCCAGAAATAAACTCATTGAATTCAATGGTATGCAATTTTAGATAAGTCTGTAAGGGTTGCAGTCTAAATCTTTCTGTCTCTCTTTTGCTAAACCAGGACAGCAAAAAGAAAAAAAATGTCCTTTCAGAATGGATCTGTGAAATTCTTAGTTAAGATTATTTGCAATAGATTTACCAAGTCTCCTCTCCCTTATTTTTCCTTTAGGTGAATTAATCTTAGATCCTCAAATTCCTTGTTCATGATTCCACATTTTTCAATCTGCAACACAATAGGAGACCAAAAGTGTGTATATGTGTGTGCCTACAATTGCCTATATAAATCAATACCGGAAACTCTGATAAATTGGCGTTATGGGACAACTGACACATTAAACAATTTTTTTTTGTACTGACAGATGGAGGACGGGAGGTATGCATGTTAAGGGCCCAGCAGAGATTGGGCTGATGTGACTTGACTCCATTGTGTAACGCCTATGTTCAAGTCTCAAAGGGGGCAGCCCGAGACAATGATTCCGAAGTAACTATTCCGAAGTTATTGTTTCAATAGGAGTGAGGGAAATAGCCTCAACCACCGGCATCGACCTCCAGTTTCACCCCGCCCCGGAAAAGGGCGGGTTTTGCATCTGAGGCGGCTCTCGCCAAACCATGCCACGCCGCCCAACTTTTCTTATCTCGGGTACCAGACTTCGCGGCTCATTGCTCTAGCCATCTCCTAGCCCCCTGCAGTCAACTCCAGGGAAGCATCGGAGGACTTGAAGCTTCCCTTTCCAAGAGCTTTATTGTTTGTTCGGGAGCCAAGGGCGACATCATTATTCATATTCATGGGATATTAATTGCTACTGAGAAAGAAGAAGGAGCCAGAAAGCAGCAAGGCAAGCGGGGCGGGGCGAGAAAGACAGAGAGAAAGAGAGAGAACGAAGCGAAGCGAAGCCGATATCTCTTCTGTCTCCCGGCGCAAAGGGCACGCTAATGCTTTGCTAGGGCATCCCTTTTTCCACGCCCCGTGGTTCACGGCGAGGAGACCACCGTGAACGCGGGCGGCTGTGCAAGCCTGCGAAAGAGCGGAAGGGAGTCCCCTGGTGGCAGGGCACTGCACTGCAGAGCGCCTCGGGAGGACTCTGATTCGCCGCCAGTTTCAGGCTATAGAGGCTGGGATGCAGCTTAAAGTCTCATAGCTTTCTTTCCCACTTCCTTTTTCCAGCTGAAATGATTCGGACAGCGCTCTGGGGCTCTGCCACACAGCCGCTTGTATTGCATTGCTTAGCTTTCCCTCCCCTTCTCCCTTCCACTTCTCCTCCCCCTTTCTTCTTTTTCTCTCCCTTTCCCCCTAAAGAGATGATCAGCCAAGGTCTTTGCAGATAGATTTTATCGAAACTTAAAGGGAAGCCATCGCTGGGCACTTGCTGGCCAATAAGTCATTTTTAATAGAGACAAATCACTCGGAACGCCCAGGAGGCAATAGCGGTGGCTACTGCTGGTGCCGCTGGCTGCTGCAAAAAGACGCGGTCGGTCGGGACAGCCTCAGGTCTCTTTCCTCTTGCAAGTTTCCTGCCATCGTGACGTCCCTGGGCGCTTCCCTTCCGAAACCGGCGGCACCTGTTTCCACGGGACCTCTGTTCATATCATGGAGCAACGGCGCCGAGGGGACCCTGTCCGAGCACCCGAGCCCGCGTAGCTGGCTTTGATTGCTGTGCTGGTTTCTTTTCCTATGGACTATTACCAGAGATCGACACCTGCGTTCGGACCCCGCATGCAGTAGGTGGACGTTTTCCTTTTCCCCACGAGCCTTCGGGGGGAAAGAAGGGGCGACTCGAACAGCGGGCAGATTTGGCGACCAGCGATGAGGCAAAGAGGGTCAGGACAAGCCAGAGACAGAAGAGAGGCTTCGAAGCACCGAAAAGGGAGGGTGGGGGTAGGTGGGTTGGAGGATCTGTGGGAGAAAGCGAGGTGTGTGTGCGCGCGCGCACGAGCTTCTTTGGGCGCCTCTTAGGTTCAAGCCACTGTCTCGAAACCTTTGCCTGGAACTTGAGCTTGGTCTCGGCCATGATCCGGGAGCCCAGGTTAATCGATTGGCTCCTCTCAGCCTCCCCCGTCGCTCCCCTGATCCCCCCCCCCATTTCCCGCGCCCTCCTGGCCGAGCGCGCAGCTTTACTCCTGCCCTACGCGAAGAGTCGGGGTGGCGGCGAAAAATCTGGTGGATGACCTCTCTTCCCACCCTCCTAGACAGCAAGAGCGCTGAACATTGGGGGGAAAACCACCCCAGCTCTTATTAAGCCTCTCGTTCTGGAGTCAGCCCGCAACTAGTTAATTTCGCCCAAAGAAAGCTCTTCTCCCAGCGCTCTTGCCAGATGGACTAATTCTCTTTGAGGCATCCCCTTCTTCCCCCTCGCCGGCTGGGTGTCCCTCCCCCCTCCCTTTCCACTCAACTCGGCAGCTAACCTTGTCTCGTGGTCATGGAGTTTATCCTTTCATTTTTGCCTAGGCTGAAGCGAGCTGTCCTGGCTCTTTAAAGTAGATGCCGGGTGGATCTATGGTTCTGGCGAAACAGAGAGGGAGCCCGAGCAGCGCGAAGGAAGTTTGAGCCGCGATGATGCAGCCCACATACTGGTACGCGGTGCTTCTGCTGCAACCTGTGCTGTACCTGGTAAGTTTCTGCGCCTCTTTCCCCCCTCCCTCTGCTCGTCTCCCAGCCGGGGTTGCCGGCGGGATATCAGCAGGGGAGGCCTCGATCCTGGGGGAGACGTCCTACACTCTAGACAAAGTTCTTGGATCCCCGAGTGCCCCCATCAATCAGGGACGTGCCCTGAAGCAGAGAGGAGAATTTGGCCCCGGCAGCTTCAAAGGTCTAAGCTTTAGGTTGAGGAGGGGGAAGTCGCTCTTGGGGAGTTTTCACTTGGAGGGGAGCTGTTTGTCACACAACGGATATTGGGCAAGGGATATTGCAATCTTATAGACCAGGGATTGTTTTTGTGTGGGGAATTCAGAATGTGAAGGTAGGAATCCTGCAAAGCGATTCTTGGAAGGATTTTGCCAGTTAGCGGTGGTGTTTCGGACTCATGTTCTGTAAAACTTTTTCCTCCTCACTTCTTTTAGTTGAGCATTGAACATTCTGTTCGTTCACACATAAGAAGGGGGACAAAATCATGGGGCGCTTAGGAAACACATGGGGTGGAGTTCCAAGGCCATTCTGATGCGTCCGCTGTCACCCTGATTCCTCCTTCCACCCGACCCCTCCCTCCGGCGCACCGTCCGAAACTCTCTTCCCGATCCGGTGCCTTCCTAATGACCTTCCATCTCTCTCAAACAATTGGCCATTCGCCTCGTTAGTTGGGAATGATGGGAGCAGTAGGCTCCCTGTCCAAGCTGCGGATAGTGGGAGTTGTCGTTTGACAATTCTATAGGCGGGCGTTTTCAGAATTGGAACCTAATATACGCACCAGGAACTAGGGATGGGAAGATAATATTTGGCAGAATGCTTCTCGGTGTGATTATTGGAAGTCAGCATCCTTGTCTCCATGCCCCACCCTTCAGGGTTTAGAATGGTTTTCCGGACCAAGGAAAAAAGTCTTCGTTGTTATTCCGAAAAGTCCTTCCAGTCATTTTCCACTAGCGGGAATCTTGCGCGTGGGAAGTCCTGTTGGTTATCCTTCTTCCGCCCACCACAGAATAAACTCTACTCATACGAACCATTCCGCTTTGAGCTCACCGAGCATCCTCCCTTAGTTTACTCGGAAAGTGCTCGGGAATAACTCCCCTTTAAGATTATCGGGGACATAGAGGTTGCAGCTGCTTCTCTGCATGGGTTGAACGATCAGCATCGCCGGAGCCCTCCATTCGGTTTCTTTCGGAAGCCACCGGTTTACAGATCGGATAAAAGATAGTACGAGGATTAGAAAACAGAGGACAAAAACTGAAAAGACTTGAGTGTAATTTGAACCCAACAAGCAGAAACCTAATGAGCTTCTTTAGGGTCTTCCGGGATAACACTGTCTTCGGAAGCCTTTTCTCTCCGCTGACTGTAATTGCAGGCTTTGGGCGCTTGAGGGCGCTGTGCCCCAATTTCAGCCATCTCGGGGTAAACAGGTGAACACGGGGGCAACCCCTCCTGTTGGAAATCATCGCTCTTGGATGCTATCCACCTGCTCGTGTAACCTTCGCTCCCTCTCCCTCCCAAAGGAGGATCGTGTGCCAGTTTAGAAGTAAAAAAATAAAAAATCTTGGAACGCGTGTTTGTCTTTCCTTTTAATAGAAGACCAACATGCGTATATTCTCTATGAGGTTGACAGGTATGGATCCAAAAGGAATGTGAGAACTGGCTGGAGGTTGGACACTCCGCCAACATTCTCAGAGTGGCAAGACTCACACTAGTGACATCACATAGGGCAATGATTCTGCAAGGCTTCATAGACTACCGACACCTGAAAGGGTCATTTATCCTTTGCATTTTTCCCTTTTAATTATTTTTGGGCGGGGTGGAGGGGGGATTTTATAGCGCCATCCCTATTTCTTCTGATTGTTGTAAAACGGTGTTAAGAAAACTACAGCACATGTAACTAGGGTCGATATTCCTAAACTGCGTGATTTTCTCCACTTTCGCCCGTCGTGTTGTTTGCTAGAACTTACAATAAGTCCTTGTTCTAAATGTGCGGCACGCTGGAAGTAAGCGCGTCAGTTCTTTAATGGGAAACTGGGAGCATTTGAAATGCATTCCGTACGCAAATTAGGCTGATTCAATTACTGTTTAGTTACCAATTTCATTACCTGAGTGCCTTCACTTCCTATTCCCCTCCCAGCTGTGGAAACGGGAGGGGAAGGGGGAAAAAGAGACATTCCTGAAAACAATGCAAGATTTAACCGAATTTGAAAATAAAGCAACGCTTCAACCCTTTCTCGACTTGGCCCAGAGTTTTTCCTCAGCCCAACTTTATGGTTCGTGTCCAAGTCGCCCGTTCTTCTGATCGTGCTCCAGTTCTTAGGTAGAGTTTCCCGAGGCCTTTCTGCAATCAGGTCGGGTGACAGCACTGAGCTTTTCAAGCCTTAATTAAACTTGACTAAAGCATTTAATCGGTGGCGCGAACCAGTAAGGGGTAACGTGTTGTTGCCGGCCGCCTCTTCCTCCTTGGAGGCCGAATTGTACAGAATGAGCCGGAGTGAAGCAATGTGGAGGGAGACTTGGAGAAAAATAAAATCCGCTTTCATTCTGAGTTCCGCCGGCAGTGAAAATCGATCGAGGTGTATAAAATGAAAGGGAAGATGGACCCCACCAGTTCCGAGGAGCGTCTGCTCCCGGCCTGCAGCAAGGAAAGCCACGGTTCTGTTTGGCTGTTCAAGCGCAAAGCTCAGTTAGAAGCTCGGGTGGACCAAGTTCTGTCCTTTCTCAGTCGGTCGGGCTCCGTTTTTGATACAGCCGATCTCCGCCCGCGCCTGTCCGAAAAGGTGAAAGGCTGTATCCACCCAACCAACGTAACCTTAGCTACAAGCCGACTGAATTACTGGCTAAAGTTACTGCCTCTCCCAAGGCCAGGAGCTGTTAGGACAGCGGGTACTTTTCTGGCCTGAAAGCTCTGGATTGAAGCCAAGAATGGCTTTCGGGTGTTTCTGGCTCTCGAAGGAATTCGGGGCATAACCTTAACAAGTTTTCCTTCTGCTTCCCTCTCCCCTTTCCTTTTGGCTTAGTCCTCGGGAATCTCAGCGTTGGTTTCTTCCGGATCTCTGGGATCCCTTCTTTATTTGCACCGGGGAGCGATGCGTTAGAAGAATCCCTGGATGGTGCAGAATAACCATTTCCCCAGGAAACTTTCGATAAAAGAAGAACAATCTTCCGTTCGCGGGCGAATCGCCACCCATATTTAAAATGTGCCCAATGAATAATAGATAATTCCCCAGGCTCACTGTAGATGAGCCGATACATACCGTTCCCTTTAACGTTTCATGTGTATATGTGTGTGGGGTGTTGTTGTTGTTGTTGTTAGACACGAACTGTTACAGGAGTTGGAATCATTCCTAACTTGAAACTTGAATCTGGAGCGTTTTCATCAGGCTTCCAAGTGTGCAGATTACATTTGTGTGTTATATATGACATTGGGACAAACAGATACAGGACACTGTGAAATAAGACAATATAAAGTTCTGATAGGCAAATCATTTAATATATAAAATCATACATTACTTTTATAAGCAAGTGTACAGTACAGATAGTATGTCTGTCTGTCTGTCTCTTTCTTTCTTTCTTTCTTTCTTTCTTTCTTTCTTTCTTTCTTTCTTTCTTTCTTTCTTTCTTTCTTTCTTTCTTTCTTCTCCATTTACACAGTAAAGGCAAGAATAGTTATGTAAATACGTGCACACAGATATTGACACATTAACCGTGTTACAATGTGTGCATCTTTATCAGACAACCAGAAATCTCCCCACCCACATATATATGTTATATTAAAAAAAAGTTTGTAAGAAAAGTTTTTTTTGGGGGGGCGGTATCTGGTATGTGTGGTAACCAGATAGAATTCACCACCAGACTTGAACCGAGGCTCATTGTCTCAGAGGCGAATGTCGTTGATTTCAATAGGATTCACTGCGTTCAAACCTAGCCTGTGCGCCTCCGAAGGAGGCGGGGAAGAGGCAAGTCAGAAGTACAAATCGTAACTTGCAGACGAGTCTCTCCCCTCCGATCCTGATTTAAAGTCCTCCCCCCCCCCCTGGAGTCGTGGGGTGCCTTCAACTTCGGCGCTGATCACAGTCAAAATTTCATTGCGCAGATTACGCCACTACGGGCAGTCGGCAACCTCCGGCCTTACTGTATAAATGCTTCGCGTTCTGCTCGTAGGGACGCACGCTCAAGTCGCCCAGCTTTCCCTTACCTGGCGCCTGCCAGGTTGGAGGGACCTCATCTCCCATCACCCAAGCGGGATGATAATGGAAACAGTCGTCTAAATAGGCTGGAAGGCGCCTGGTCGGAAAAGATTGGCGGTCTATCTGCAAGGCCGCGTCGAAATATTTGCCCAGTGGTTGTGGAGGCTAATATTCCCTTGAAAAAGGTTGATAGATTTATTTCGACCCGTGTCCTGCTTAATAGTGTGAAACCCCGAATCAAGTATTTTATTCTGATGAGACTTGTCCTTCTTTGCCTTCCTAGATTTATTTTAGGCACCTTTTCCTACATTTTCTGAACTCTAGATTGGAAACCTATGACTCTTTTAGCAGGACGCGGAGTTGGTGTGGGTGAGTACGGTCTAAGAGTGTGTTAAGTAATGGCACTGTCCCCTCTACCTCGCACAATGTTATGGGCTAAATTACGTCGCAGCTTAGCAGTTAAGAAGACATGTTTGCTGTTTAAAATCCTAATTTTTCGCCCGTATCCTGATTGGACAGTACATCAGATAAGGGGACTTTGCTGTCGATAAGGGGACTAACATTTGGAGATTTAAGTCCCAGGTTTACTTGGCAGCCAACTTCATGGTCTTCAGTGGAATGTGTATAAAGCCGTAGAAGATCGAAGCTGTAATGTTAGAACGGCTGGTAATACTTTTGGCCGCTTTGCGTGGTTCACTTCGCCGACTTCGGTGCCAGCCATTCGACCCCATGAAGCTGGTGACTCGTAATTATGACATGTCTTGATTTTTTTTTAAAAAAAATCGGAGTTGCAACCAG